CTCAATTAACGCTACTTCAAATAATCATATATTTAAATAATTATTATTTGAATAATTATTATTAAATAATTTTTAAAAAATGACATTAAATTTGTAATGAAAATTTTAATGTCATTAAATGATAACTTATAAGTTAGAATTTACTTTTACAGATTCCTGTAGAAAGAAAGCAAGCCATTTATATTAGAAACATATTAAACTAATTTTGTATCACTTATTTCAATAGCTATTTTGAAATAATATACTTAATTTATTTTAACAATTATTTATTATATACATATACATACACATACATACATTCATACATCCAAACATACATACATACATACATACATACAGATATAGATGCATATGTGTGTGTGCGTACGTACGTGCATGTATGTGTGTTACATATAATCACTTAAAAAAAATATTCAGATATGCTTGACATAAAATATGTAATTTGTATATTGACATAAAATATGGTAATTTGAAATTTATAGATTCATATTATTGATATTATTAGAATTATTATTAGAATATTTATTAGAATTTGAATATTTATTAGATCATATTAAGTAATATCATAATTACGTAAGTAATATCATATTAAGTAATATCATATTACTTAATATGATCTAATGAAAATCTAATCTTATCTTAAATGCTTATTTTTATTTTTTGCTTGTTCTTTCTTCTTTAGGAAGACGATCGCCAGCATGTTGTAACCATGATTTAATAACAGCTTGTATTTATCAATCGTAGAATCTAATCGAGAATTAATTATAGTCTCTGAAATAGAAAAATAAAATAATTAAAATATAAAATATTTTTTAGATTATATAGATATTTAGAACATATAGATAGAATATAGATATATATTTTATAAAGCACTAAATTTTTAGTCTCCACAATTTTTGAAATTATATTAACGAACTTCAAATAGAAAAATATATATGTACAACATTAATTTATAAAAAAATAAGAAAGAATTTCATTATAATCATTGTCATCATTATTAAATATGATGATAGTTATAATGGATAATAAAGGAGTATGCTTCAATTTTCTTATTGATTTTTTTTTTGAATATTGTTATATTCTAAAAATTTATTTTGTATAAATAAGTAGTTATAAATAATTATTTAACTAATAAAGGTATACAATAAAGATAAAATTTATATTATAGTAAACTATTCATATATAAAATAATATAAAAAAAGAAAATGTAAAATGTATCACTAATGATTACATAAATATGTAACATAGAAAAGAAACTATGTAAATTAGAAGCAAAACATCTTTGTTTTCATTAAAAGTTAATATGATATAAATATCTAAGCGTATAAATATCTAAATTTTAGTTTTAACATACTCCTTAAAGAAAAATGAAAAATAATAAGCAAATAATAAAATAGTATGCAAAAAGATAAATACCAATTATCAAATCCATAATCTTCATTTCTTTTACCATTAGCGAATTTTTTTGTCCTGTCCATGACATTTTATATGCCATTTGATCAGTTAAGGTAGCAGTTAAAGCATTTCGTACATGTTTTTGGAAAGTTGTACCACCGATATTTTTTATCATTTTTTCTGTGATGCAATGATATTTAACTTTAATTAAAATATGTAAGGACATTTTCAATGTAAAAAATTATAGCAAAATACATTAGAAATAATTGATAAAACATAGTTTAATAAGAAATATATACGCTAAAATGTTACATAAATTTTGAAATACAATATGAAATCACTCACATATTGTGACCGAGCTGCAGCATCTTCTTTTAGTAATATTTCAAAGTCTTTCAATTCTTTTTCTGATGTAATAGGCAAGTTTAAAGCAAGATTATTGGTAGCATCGCGAGGTGCTTCATTACTCATATCCAATACAAGAAGATAAACTGAATTTATTGTTTTTTTAATTGTCTGAATATCTCTACGACAGGATGCTATAAAAAGAAATCGGATATATTACAATTTAATCAACCAACAGATAAGAAGTTCATAATTATTCTTACCGCAACATAATTCATGATGTTCGAACGTACGTCGTTCGTTTTGTCGGTCAGTATTATTTTGTATACGTGCTGCAGAGAGAATTTTTATAGAGATTAATACTTGATATTTTTTTTAATACATTAATTTTTAGAGGTAATGATAATCTTACATAGAATAAGTTTGTTGTATGTAATTCATGTTATATCAATTTTCATTTATTGAATGTATAAATGTAAGTAATACCTACTAGTTTCAATGACATTATGAATAATTGAATTATTTTTTAATATTTTATCGTTATCCAATTGAGCTGAATCTACGAAGATAATTATTTTGTTAGTATTAATTAACATAAATTTATTTCAATTTTCGTTTTTTTTAACTTACTAAGTATATTTTGTTGCAACGATATTTGTTCGTCGAGTTGATTCGTGTCATTTAGATCATTTAATGTTTCAGATATATATATTTCATTATTTGATTCAACATTATTGTTTGTTGGTTCAGATTGTTTCGTTAGAAGTGGTTCCTGACTAAAGAAATTTCCATATTCCAAAGGTTGACTTTCAAAACCTATGTTATTGTTTTCATTGTCAACAAAACACTTTGCTACACCTGTGAAAAAATTGATTAAATGCATTTTTCCAAAATTTAAATTTTAAGTTTTATTGAATAAAGGAATAATAAATTTAATCAAAATTTTAAAGTGAATAATATTAAAATAATCGATTATATTCCAAATTTTGTTATTACATGCTTCATCTTCGCTTGTAAATTTCTTATTATTATTCTTTGAAATATAATTGGTTGGAGGTTTTTGGAAACTCTTTTGGATATCTATAAGAAAATGAGAGTCTATTAAATTAATAAATTAATAAATTAAATAAACTATTAAATAAACTATTAAATTAATATATTATTATTAATTTATAATTAATCAGTTAATTTCTTGTAATGATTTACTGTAAGGTTTTAGAATTTGTTCTGCAGCTTCATCAGATTCTTCATTAGAATTTTCATCAGATTTTTCATTAGATTCTTTATCTTCACCTAGAGAAATATTATTTTTTGAAGTTTCGGAAGTCTTTTATTTTTAACATCTATAAAAATATATACATATATGAGAAATAGAACTTTATAACATTTTAAGACAAAATATTAAAAAGTAAAATGTTTTTATTTCTTAATGTAAAATTTTGTAAAATTAAAATGACTTTAAATACTTACATGATTTCTTATCATATTCTTCATCGGAAGAACAAAGTCGATATGGTTTTTTGATTGCACGTTTCATGGGAAGTGGCTTACAATTAGTTGCTTTATTTGTGATTGTTTCAAATGCATCTTCGTCATTAGTCGAAATATTAAGAGCTTCGATTTCAATACTTCTAGCTTCATTATATGTAGCTTCAAAATTATATATATATTCAAAATAATATATACTAAAAATCTGAAGATAAAATACATTGATATTTTAAACCTACCAAATGGTCCTATAAACCTGTTATAATGAATTGTACTCCAATTTTCTTTTGGCAATGTTGCTTTAATGCTTTCAAGTGTAGGATTTTTAGATTTTGGTGGCCACTTAAAAATTTTAGACTCCTTAAATAACCAACAACTTGGTATGGTAGCACACTACTCTTTCCAAAATACAATAAAATACATATTTGTCGAATTAACAATTTTTTAAGAAGTAATCTAGAAAAAAAATTCATGTAAAATTGATAATTAATAAATTTACTTATGAAAAAGATTACTTTTTTAAAGTAATTTTAATCAGTTTTACATGATTTTATCAATGGAAATATTTTTTTTTAATTTATCACAATATCAATTGCAAACGATATATAGTGACAATTTAGTCATGTTAAATAAAAGTAATTTATACATAATAATCTACTGTTGAGTCAAGTGTTGAAGACAATTACAACGGTTCTTTATTTACTATGAATAAAATATTTAATAAATTGAAAACATATATCTTATGATTAAAATTAATTTTTAAAGAAAGAAATAGCACTTAATATTTAAAACAAAACTGTCTAAATATTTATATTAGGTGGTAAACTTAATTTCTGCCGCTAAATATTACATATACAATATTTAGCGGCAAAAATTAAGTTTATCACTTAATAATAATAAATTTGCAAAAACTTAAGTGTTAAGCATAACCTTAAATATAGGTTATTTTATTTATTCCTTCACTTTAATTAATCCGTTTCTTATTTGCATAATTGATTTTAGTTTTATTTTTCGTAATGACAATAGCACATTATAGTTTTATTTGCATATGCGTTTAATACCGATATTTTAAGGAAAATTATATTATTATAATTATTTGCAACTTTGTTACAGCTACACAAAAATACATTCGTAAAAGCACATTCATATATACCTGTAAACAATTAAATTATTTAAAACTACGGTTATCTCTCTAATTTTAGATCTATTTTTTTATCTGGATTGGTTCAGAATTTCTCTTTCTGGTTTCAACGTAGAGTGGAAAAAATACTAAACTAGTACATCTAGTTCAGTTTAAAACAACAGATTTTTTGATAGCAGTATGCCGCGTAAATTCAAATAATGATAAACAAAATTTGAAACTTTTATTGATCGATACATAATAAAAATAAAATGCAAATGCAAATAAACGAATATTGTTATATGTATTATGTTACATATATATTGTTATATATATTATGTTAATCAATAAAAGGAATAATTAATACTAATTTATAATAATATAATAATAAAGTTTTAAATTCTTAATTTTAGATCATTATTTTTTATACTGTGGATTGAAAATAATAATCAATTAGATGAATGTAGCAAGGGCAAAAAACAATAAGATTTGTTATATGGAATACATACAGCCTTTTTGCTAACGTTATTTGCATTGATAATTGTCTGTTGAGACCATTGATTCCCGACTGCAATATCAAACTCCTTTGAATCAATAGGATAATTTGGAAAAGCTACAGAATTCATCAATAATTCTCCAATTAAAATAGGTTTTTCATCATGATCTAAACAAATATTTTTAATGCGTACGATAGTCCTATCCTGCAAATAACAATATTGATCTGCTTTATTCATTATTGATAGTGTAAATTTATTAAAATGTATAATATTATATGAGGTAATACCAAGTTCTTTCGATATTTTATGATTTTTACATGTCACTGTAGGTTTTTCGAAAAATAAATCTTTCTTTTTTTCAAAATTACATGCAATACGTTCTACAATTCTATTGTGCAGCTGCTGTAAAGGTTTTTCTGCCTTTTTTAGTGTTTTTTTAATATTATATAAGTAACTCTCAAATGAAAAACAACTGAAAGAATCAAGATGACCAAATTTTAAAACATCACTGGCTAAATGAATTAAATTATGGATATTATATATCAAAAAATCGGTACCATATAATTCAGTACATTTCTCTACAAAATATTCCAATAAATCTGCAACATATTTATTATTATCTTTGCAATCTGTTTCGTGACAAAGAATCCTGATTGCACAGTGTAGAGAAATAAAATGGATGAAATATTTCTTTGGTAAATAATTTTGAAGAACAATTGGACCTACATACAATAAAAATAATCTCAATTCAGTCGCTTTCCATCGATCAAGATATTCTAATTCCCGAGTTTTTCTAGCAAATTCAGATGGAATCCATTTTGTTATGATTTTTAAATTTACAGATATTTCTTTTATCGTTTTAGCAGAAAATTTAATACATTTATGAGATCCTTTTGTTACCTTTTGTAAGATTTTTTTTACAGCTCCGAGACAAACAAGATGCATGTAATCAAGTGGGAATTGCGAGACCATCCCTAAATCTGCTTCTTCAAATAATGATGTTCCAGTATGATGATTTTCATCAATACGTTTAATGAAATTTTCATCTGTTCTTAAAGCTGCACTCGAATTCAAAAATAACATGCGATGATTGTAATAATTTCCTTCTTCTCTACATTTTCCACATCCAAAGTAGCCATTGTGACCTTTTGTACATGTAATGAAAGATCGTGCTGGACTGTCACAAATTACAGCTCTAATTGTACAATAACAGTAAAAATTTGATTGCAATAGTTAAATCCGCTTCTATGTAAAATGTTATATTCATCAATAAATTCTCTCAGAAATGTATTACAGGAGTTAGGCTTCTCATATCCATGATAAGCTCCGATTACAAATGGCTCGGAAATTTTTGGATAAATTTCTCCCAGAATGGGATAAAGTTCACTTTTTGAACTTTTGGCTATTGGCAATCCATCAATATTTACATTTATCTGGATATCATGAGATATTTTATTGATACCAATCATTCTCAATTGATCAGTTAAAGCATTTTTTAAACCATAATGAAAATATTCACCTGGTGGTACACTACGAATTATTGTTGATTTTGGTGTTCCAAGTAAAGTTCTTGGATCTAAAGGTAGATTGCGAAATTGATCTAATTCAGCATTTCTTAATATTTTTAGAAGAGCGCCAGTTGCTTCATGAGTTATGCCATGATTGCACACCCATCGTGCCATTATTTTATTAAAATTTTGAGATTTTTCCTGTAATACATTTTTATAAAATCCATTTGTAACCTGATTTTCATCTATTGAATTACTTTCACAATCATTGTGATTATTTATGAAAATATTGATAGTATTTTTGTTATTCGATTCTTTCAAGACATAATTCATAAATTTATCATCTTGAAATTCAGAATCACTTGTAGTTTCTTTTGTTACTGTTTTGCCACATTTAATACTTTTGAATGTAGATATTAGACTATTAATATCATTTCGATTATTATCCAAAGAATTACAAAGTTCCTTGAGGCGTCTTTTTTTGACTTTTAGATAAATATTTAAATTTTCGTTTTAACATTTTATTATTTAATCGCATCACCTAAAAAATAAAACAGCTATATTCTATTGATAATTGAAATGTTATATATATATATATATATGAGAGAGAGAGAGAGATTTATGAAAAGTTTAATAAATAAAGAATGAAAAATTGAATATAAATGTATTTAATCTTCTAAAGATAATAAATTTACCTGTATTTATAACCTTAAAACCTTCGAATTAATAATGCAGTCTTAATTATTTCTACATATACGTTTTTACATATTGTTACGTCGCGGGCGTAACAATATATGTAGAGTTCACTCCGCGACAACGATTCGTTCCCTGGTCCCTCTCGCGGGGCAAGGGAAGCGTAGCCTCTGACCAATCTAAAGCCACTGCCACGCTGCCAGCTGATTGGTCAATTCTACGCTCTCTTTGCCCCGCGAGAGAGGGGCTACGGAACGAATCGTTGTCGCGCAGTGTTCAACGTGCTGATTTTCTTTTATAGACACGAAATATTTAAACTAAAATATTATTATAACATTTCAATATATCTTTAATTTTGAGGATAGAAACATGCTTTCTCACTATACTGCTTATATGCACCGCAGTGCGCGAGTGTGCATACGCACATGTACTACAAGTTTACTGTCATTTTCAAGATGACATTTTGATATCGATTTAAAGAAAATACATCTTATATAAAACACTTCTTAAATAAGATGTCTTTTAGACCTCTTTCACCTTTTTATAACAGATATCTTAATATATTTATCTAGTAGATATCTTCCTTCATTACTCAAAAAGTTATCTTTAAAAAGATAGCTTAAAGAAATCTTTCTGACTTATATGCTGTGTGGGTAATAATTAGTAAAACTAATTATTAACTATTAATTATGAATTATTAACTATTAACAATTAACATTATTCAATTGCATAAACATATACACATAGATAATTAAGTAATTGATTTATACCGTAAACTATTATTATATCGATATTAGCGCCAATTATACACAACTTGTAGCTTAAGATAGTCGTTAGTCAATATTTGACTTGATAGTAGAATTGTGATAGTTGAACAAGTAACAATAGTCTTTAATTAATTGAAAACAATATAGAAAAGGCAATGTTTTCGCATAACCAGTATATACATAGATTTATTTGTTAAATAAAATTTTTAAAACCGATTTTTCTTATATTACATAATTAATAAAAAAATGTAGTTTATAAATATTTAAAAAAATTTTTGTTTAAAACATATATATACAAAAACATCAAATAATATAAATTAATAAGATAAATCAATAAATATAACAATGCATAACTAATATAATAATATAATAACGTCGATATAATTATGAACGATAATCGTTTACAACTAACACTCTAATAATTAAAATGTATATCAAGCTGAGATATTATATATAGTACTTTTTAGAATTATATATGTGTTATAAATGTATATCAAGCGGATATCGAGCTGAGATATTATATATAGTACTCTTAGTATATAGTACTCTTTAGAATTATATATTTTTCCATTTACTTGAAACATGTTAAATTATTCTCGGAAGAAAGTAAATCCCGAGATAAAGGAGAAGTATTAATTCCAACCATAAAAAGTATAATACTAAGAATTCCTATGATGAACTGAAAGTAAGTATCAAATAATATATTATAATTATCGCTATTATATATTTTTGTACATAAGCCTAACTTCTAAACTACATTTTGCTTGTACAAATATGAATAATATTAAAAACTAACCTTAAAAGTGAATTTGTATCCAAAGCAAAACAAACCCATTCCATCGAATTTTAATGGCTGAAGTAATAATTGAAAAATAAACTGGCAAATCTGCATTATAATATTTGTTATTTAAAATTGATTAATGAAAGCTGTTTAAAATCGAAAGATTTTAGGCTAGAAGATATATCTTACATCTTCGCGTATCTGGTCAAAATAAACAAGGTTTGTCAATTTATAGATTATGTCCATAGTTTTCTTCGCCTGAAATAATATAAAATTAATTTGACGATAAAGTTGGTTTTATTTAAGATTTATATTTTTATTCATAATAATTACATGAATTTCGAGAAATGCAAATTTATTTGAATAAATTATTAATCATTATAAAGAAAAATTTCTCAGATTTTTTATTAAAAAAAATGAGAAGTATTTATTTTCTTATTTCTTTTAATTTAAATACTTTCCTAAGATACTGTAGATTTAATATTATTTATTGGAAAGATTGAATATCAGACCAAATCAAAATCGTATACATATACATATCATAATAAATAATTTTTTTAATAATTTATCTAAAAATTACGACTTACCTTGATGCTAACGCTTTCGCAAATATAATTGAATGTTACGAACTTTATTACTATTAAGTTGCAACCTATGTTATTAATTACAAATAGTATTATATTGTGTTTACGAACTTCATTGTCTTTAGAAACTTTAGTGAAGCATAATAATATACGATATTCAAAATAAATTGATGTGGTCAAAAGAATAAAATGGAATATCGTCTGTAGGGTCATTTGCGTTCCAAAAAAATCATTTATATTGCGAGCTATTCGGCAAAGTTCCAAATGAAGATGCCTAAAAGATAGTATATTATTAGATAAATATATTTAAAAGACTTCAAGAAAATATAATCACTGATCTACTTCTTCTAAGAGATGCATGCATATAATGTTTATTTATTTAAAATTAAGTACGATCAGAGATATATAATCACAAGGATTATTAAAAATCTACATTTATTACTTACATTGAAATAATTATTTTGTCATAAAGCTCAGTAAAAGTAATGTTTATTCTTACATTACGTAAAAAAATTTGAAAATTTGCAATTATATATATTTTGAGAAAAAAACAGATTTTTTTTAATAGATACACAAAATTACCACAAATTAAATAGAAATTGTGTTAATAAAATTAATAATACATTAAGATGCAACATATTTATATATTTATACATTAATAAAATTATCCTCTTTTTTATTAAAATAATTTCTCCAATTTTGCTGATTTTCATTTTAAGATATATCAATTTACATTGAAATCCATAATATATGCTCGCGATTTTTACTGCTTTGGACATAGTAGCGATTAACAGAAGATTTTTTCCAAGTGCCTCTCAATCCACATTTTTCTATCTTTGACAATTGTTCAATACAATCATTGATTTTATCGAATTCAGTACCAATGTATCTGTAATTTAAAGAAATAAAGAAACATTCAAGAATATAAAATGCTTAAACTGTTTTATTTAATATATATTTATGTCACAAATTAAGAGCATGTTTCAATTCTTATTAAATTCACACTATATTATTTTATAAAAATAACATCTTTTACGACATTTTTACAATAGCACTTTTACACACAATTTATATACATTTAAAAATTAATAAAAGTAAATTATTCAAATTTTTTAATAATGCTTACATAATTAAAAAAATGGAACTTGTACAAACCTTAAAAGAAATATAATCATTATATCTATCAATTCATTGAGAAAGAAAGCATAATCTATAATGCAAGCCATAACTGCGAGTTGTGTATCTTGAAATTTTTTTATGTACCATATAGAAATACCTATGCACCAAATGCAAACTATCATAAACCATATAATCAATATCCATTTTACCGAATTTTTCATTTTACAATATTCCTTTGGTATTCTAAACAGATCCAACGTATCATCTATGAGACCGAGTTTTCTCACACTCATATAGAATTTCTAAGAATAGCAATAACAAGAAAATATATAATATTATAAATGTCTTTCTTGATATGTGCATAAAATATATATTAATGTATTTAGTAACAATATAATATATGTGTGTTATGTGTATATATTGTGTGTGTGTCATAAAATCTTATCAAATATATATTCTAGTTATTTATATGAAATATATAAGATATATACAAAATCTATTAATATACAAAATATATTAATATACAAAATCTATTAATTAAATATATGTAGTTTTGGTTTCTGATGATCCAATAAGTGAAAATAAAATTATATTTGAGAAACATAAGATTATTTTATACACATTACGCATTATATACATTATACACATTATATAAATATACACATTAAATAAAAAAAATAGATTATTTATTTCATATTTAATCAAATTAGATTTTATCAAATATAATTTAATTTGACTTTACCAGATAATTAATAACAAAATAACGAATAATAAAAATTATTTTGAATTTAGATAAATCGTATTTCGTGTTATTTACTTCACTGTAAATATTATAGTAAGTTATAATAAGACATTCATAAAGAAAAAATGTGTACCTCATGTTTGCAAATGGTGGTGATTGTAAATATTATTGTCATAAACAAAATTGTCCCTATTAAGAAAAATCTCAAAACACCTTTGAATAAACATCTGGTTGTAAGGAAAATCGACATATAATAAAAGGCATAGGCATAAACACTCCACGGAATTAGTACAGAAAAGATGTTCAAGCAAAATCTTAAATAACTCGAACTTTTCTTAAAGATTCCAAAAGGAAACAAAAAGTTAAAAAAAAGGTGTTAAAACGTTTTCTATAGTGTCGACCATGATCGCAAACTGTGACAATTCTATACGTTAATTATTATATAGATCCCAAGTTGAAGATGATATAGCGTGCTAACGTTACATGTACATACATTAATAATATAATAAGACGACATTTGATTAGACCATTGTTTGGACAGCGTTAAAATATTAAACAGCAATGTAGATGTAAATAATTAAGATAATCAATACTGCAATTATTATATTTTTAGTTTCTGTATTTTCTCTCTATTTCATATCTCCTTATTAGATACAAAATGTATCCGTATAAACGCACATAATACGTTATAATTAATATAACATAATTTGTAAGCAATTACAAATAACATAAAAATTACTACAAATAATTACTAACAATCCTAAATAAAATGGTATAAAT